CACTTTTAGATCTTGCAGGAATTTCCTCATCTCTTGGAACTCGTCAATCTCTTTCTCCTTTCTCTTTAGTAGTTCATTATCTCTCTTCTCTTCCATCTCTGTTAGCTTAGACATTATGAATGATCTGAATTCCTTATCAGACATTTCCATGATTTTCACCGAACTGCTTGTGGATGAAGAGTTACTCTTTTCCCTAGGAGGAGAGGTATTTTCTTGTTTTCCCATGTTTCTCGTGATCCGGCGGTGATTTCTTGTCATCTGATGAATGTTGTGTTTTCTTTCAAATTCTGGAGGTTCAGCCTTAATGTTAAGGAGCAAGCAGACAGAGGTGATCCAGAATCTCTTTGCTGTTCTATTGTGCTTGCTGGTGCAGCAGATTCAGAAGATAGTGGGGAATATTTCAACCCTATTAGTATTTTAAATAAAAAAAAATTGTAATTGCTGTTCTTTTAAAAGAAAAAATCACAAAATAGAAAACCTACAAAAAAACTGCTGGCTTGTTTGTTGGAGGCTAAATTATCAGTAGAAAATCTTCATTCCCTGAAAAATCTAGTTCGCTGGAGCCATGTGGAACCTTCTTCAGAAAGGCCCGGCTTCTTCTGCCTGGGTGGGAGGACCAGAGTGATAATTAACAAGAAAAAAGGTGGAGCTGAGAGCCAGAAAAAAACTGTGCCTTTTTAAAAAAGTGTAAAAAGGAAAAATTACCAAAAAAAAAAGGGAAGACAGAAGCAGGGAGAGACAGGAACCAAGACAGAGAAACAGAGATAGAAGGCTGGGGGCGGGGGGAGGGCTCCCTACCGCTAGCTCGGTTTTTGGAGGCTGAATTATCAGTAGAAAATCTTCATTCCCTGAAAAATCTAGTTCGCTGGAGCCATGTGGAACCTTCTTCTGAAGGCCCAGCTTCTTCTGCCGCTAGCTCGTTTGTTGAAGGCTGAATTATCAGTAGAAAATCTTCATTCCTTGAAAAATCTAGTTCGCTGGAGCCATGTGGAACCTTCTTCTGAAGGCCTGGCTTCTTCTGCTACTAGCTCGTTTGTTGGAGGCTGAATTATCACTAGAAAATCTTCATTCCCTAAAAACTCTAGTTCGCTGGAGCCATGTGGAAGTGCCTTCTTCTTGGGAGTGTCTAAGTTTTGAAAAATGATGAAAGTACTACCTCTTAATGAGACCTTTTGAAAACATTTGGATTTAAGTGTGTGACTAACTCAGTTTGATGAATGCATATTTTTTTTTAATTTATAGGCATTTAATAGTAGTCAACTTTCCATAAGAAATTTTAGGGCCAGGTGGTGGTGGAGTGGTAAAAGTTGACACTCTGTGAGGCACACACACATAGGAAGGCTGCTGGTCCACATCCAGAGACCTCCTTGAGTATATCGTAAACTTGTGTGCCCATGATCTGGGCTGGCTCAGTTTAGGAGTGAATCATTGCATCAAGCAAACAAAAATGCCATTTATTCATTTACTGGTAAGGAGTGGTATTTCACTCAGAAGTAGACACTTTATTGATCCTTTCCTGTATGTCTGCCCTATTTACAAACCTCTAAAGGAGTTGTCTTTTAGCAGGAGAAAAAACTTCCTAATGGGATAATAAACTCAGATCTGATAGATAGAACCAGAGGTTTCTTCCATCAAAAGTAAAAATGGGGTCAGATTTTTATGAAGGACTATCAGCAAGTTGGTAACTTGAAAAAAAGAACCTTTAAAAAAGCTACCCTAAGGGGAAAAAAAGAAAGAACTGCTTTTGAAATTTTAGATCATATGATGTCCTTTACACGTCCCTCATTCAACTAGAAAGATATTAAAACAACTAATGAATTTTTTAAAAAGATGCATAACTTGGTAAGGGAAGCATTATTTATTTTTAAATTTTAAAAGTAGAGCATTACATCATGTGGAGATGTTTGGCGAGGTTCTTTCCTCCTCCAAAGGGTGAGTCAAACAGAGATGCAGGGAGTTGAAAAAAAGACGTGAGGCACTAATGTCATGTTTATTGACTGAGTTTAGTAAGAGTTCAGAGTTCTTAGTAGGCCCACTAAGACCATAGCAGCACTCACAAGTGCTTCCTCCCTTTTGGAGCTAGTAACATGCCTGGACAACCCTCACAAAGTGGCTTCCTCCCTCTCAGAACTTAAAGCATGTGGAGCCAAGCCAAGGCCACGCCAAGCCAAGGCCATGCCAAGCCAAGGCCATCAGGGCTAACCAACCTTAACCAAGGCCAAGCCAAGCATGGCTAGCAGGGCTAGCAGGGCAGTGCTGAGTTGGGCAGTGCTAGCTGACCAGGAATTCCTGTAATCTTAAAGGGGCTGCAGACATAGTGGCTCATTGCCAAATCCAAAGTGTCATACGTGCATATATGTATTACATCCAATAGGGTAAAATAGCAAAGTCGTCATTACATCACAAGTGTTCAAGTGCAATACAACTAATAACTTAAGTTGTTAACCCTGTGTCCGTCAAACATAAGATAGGAGGTGAAGGAGCCAGATTAAACCATCCTGACTCCATTTACAATACTTGAGGGTATGTAGGGTAGAATTCTAAAGGTGCCCCCCCCTCCCAAATTCTGTTGAGTCATCAGAAAGTTATGACTTATTTTTGCATAGAAAAACAGAAAAATGTCATGACTTTTTCGACAACCCAGTAGTTCCCTGGTTATTCAGTCAAATATTAATTTATGTACTGCTATGAAGAGACTTTGGAGATGGGAGTTAAAGCTATACTAATCAGCTGGCTTTAAAAAAAGAGGTTATTCATAGGTGATACACACACATTTATAGGTGAGCTTACTATTATCACATAAGCAGAAGGGCCAGAGAAATGTAATCAGAATATGCAGAAGAAAGAAAACCAGTCTAATCATGAAAAGGATTCATGCCCATTGCAGGCCCAGAGATAGGAACCCAAATGCAAGAAGTAGCAAGAGAGGCCCAAGAACTAAAGGGCACCCCTAACTGAGAGTCAGTAGAGATGGAAACCTCAGACCCACAACTACAGGGAACTTGTTTCTGCCAGCCACTTGAATGAGTTTAGAGCAGACTGTTCTCAGGGTCTCCAGTGAGGACTATAACCTTGCCATCACTTTGATTTTAGCTTGCTGAGACCTGTTAGATTTCTTATCTTACAGAACTATGAAATAGTAAGTGCAAGTGCATATTTTTCTTTTTCTTTTCTTTTTTTTTTTTTTTTGCCATAGAGCACATGCACTCACTAGAAAGGGGGTAGGGGAGGGAAAGCGAGAAATCACCCCATGTCCATGCCAGTATCTTCTCCATTCTCATAGGATTTTATTTTGGGCATACATGCATACGTACAGTAAGTGGGTGTTTTAAGTTAGAAACTTCATGGCAGTTTTTTATGACAGCAGTGACTAACAAGAGAACAAAATTCACCCTTTTCATCTCATCCCATACAATTGATGTTTATTTCCCTCCAGGCTATTAGGATGTATGTCATTTTCTTAAAAATATGCATATATTGGAACCAGCAGGTGGCATAATGCTTAATGTCACTGGATTCCCATAATTTGAGTCCCAAACCTGGCAGCTTAAAACTCATACTGGGTTTGTGTGCTTGCATGCCCAAGATCCCAAGAGGAGAATGGAGGAGAAGGAATTGCAACATGACCATCCACCTGGGGATGGGGGAGGTGATTTCTTGCTTTCTGTCTGTCTTTCTCTGTTTCTCTAGCAAGCGCATGTACCCTACAGCAAAAATATCTCTCTAAAAATAATAGTAGTAATAATCTTCATATATTTTTGTATTCTGCTTTGCTCTCAATTTAGTCATAACATTTCTCCATTGTTGCTTCATAGTTTACTGATCGTTATTTTTAATAAAGCAGTATAATGTTCATTTTAGGAGATATACTTAACCTGTTGGCCTTCATGTTTCTTTTAAATTTTCACCATTATTACACTGTAGTGAACATTTCTGTACAGTTGGCCATGTGAGATCCAGCTACCCTAACCACCACACCACTGGCTTGTCCTCAACATGATTTTTTTAAATTAGCATTTCATTTACAGTCTACTGATACTGCCTTCTTACCTTCTATATCTTTCTTGCTGATAGTTATAGTTATCAAATCCATGATTATTGTGTATATGATTGTTTCTTAAGTTCCATTCCATAGATATCTGGTTGTTGTGTTTTTTTTTTGGAGAGGTTTTTGCTCTAGGGCACATACACTCACCTGAAAGACAAAGAGAGACAGACAGAAAACAAGAAATCACCCCCCAGGGGAGATGGCCACACCGCAATCCCTTCTCCTCCATTCTCCTCTCGTGATCTTGGGCACGCACACACACATGCACCCGGCGTGAGTTTAAGTCACCGGGTCCAGGACTCGAACTGTAGTCGACTATATGGGAGTCCAGCGACATAGCCATTACGCCAACTGCTGGTCCCGATTCCATTGATACCTTAAAAAATGAAAAATTTTATATGGAAAAAAGCATGAATAAACATACTGTGAGTAGCAACTAAGTATGAACTTACTTCAAAACCAAGTGAGTTGTTAGTCTCAGAAAGAGAGTGTATCTAGTACTGAAATACAAAGTGCGCATGTTCTCTGTGGCTACAGAGGAATGAGTGAGAATAAAAATTTGTTGGATAGGAAGTTAGGATTCTAGACCCTATGGTGGTGTTAACCTTGTGTTATTAACTTATCACTTAATGTCTAGGCTTCTGTTTTCTGTCCTATAGAAAGAAGGATTGAATATCTCAGTTACATGAAAAATGGCTACAAAGGAAAGTATGAAATCATTTTGTACGTAGTGAGGTAGGCTTTACATAAAAGGTACACGGTAGGAAATCATTGTTTTGTCTATGATTGATAAGGAAGTTAATGAAATTCACAGAAACAACATGAAAATGGGACATAATGACAAAGCTTTTGTACTAAAATACTGTTTCTAAAAGACTATATAATTAAAGTGCTTTAGAATCTGTGCAAAAATAAGGTATATTTTAAATAAGCACATGTTTTTGTTTTCTAGGATCAAATCTAAATCGCTGTGGTTTCCGGGGTTCATCATATCTGGGTATTCCATTCAATCCATCAAAGGTTAGTTCTGTTTGGGTAAGAAGGAAGGAGGAGAGATATGGGAAGATTTTGTTGAGAAAGAAGACTAAAATATTACAGAGAAAGAAACAGACTTTCAGTTTTCACTGTAGCCAAGTATTGTCCCATAATGTATATATTATAAACCAAAACTTACTGAGGGAAATCTATACCTGCCTTACTTCCTGGAAGAAAGTACAGCATACATAATTCCAGAAAAATTTCGTTCATTGTGTTTGAAATTTATGTTGCTCTTGTGTGTGTGTGTGTGTGTGTGTGTTTGTAAAAATTATCAGTGATTTCCTGGGAGAACATGGGAAATAAAGCACTTACATACTTTGATTCTTGATCTCTAAGGAGCCAGTAAACTGCTGTGTATTACAGAAGGACTTTACATTCAGTTCTCATTTCTTAGGAATAAAATAAAAAGTTCTCTTAAGGCAGTAATTGAAAATTCAGGTAATGATTAATGCAATAACTTCGATGAACTTCTAATGAGAGACTTTGGTGCCAGTATAGAAAGCATTGGATATAACAAAGTGAGGAGCTTTTTTCTTCACAGAAATAGACCCAAGGGAACTAGCAAGTGGCACAGTGGTTAAGGTGTTGAAATTCCATATGGCCAACTGCAGTTTGAGTCCTAGACTCTGGCTTGAAAATCATGCTGGGTGCTTGTGTATGCATGCCCAAAATCCCAGGAGGAAAATGGAGAAGGGATTGTGGCGTAGTCTTCTCTCCTCAGGAGTGATTTACCACTTTCCATCTCACTGTCTCTCTCATGGGCACACACGCCCTATGACCAAGGGGGAAAAAAAAAAAAAAGAAAAGAAATAAAGAGACAGTCCCAAAATAGGCTCTTCAGATTTTCTGTACATGTACAAAATTGCAGTATTTTTCTACAGAATATCAGAGAAAGTCTGTCATTTTTTTCCAAAGAGGCTTCACTTTAGCACGTCTCTCTTAAAGGGATCAGTCTGCTTGCAAGTGGCTATAAGCCAGTATCTAGCTGATCTGGGTGTGCAGAGATCTGTATCAAGTTGCAAGCTGAAGGTTAAATAACATCCCTCCAGTTTTTTAATAATCTACAAAATTTTGGAATAAATAGTAGTAGTTTTAGAGAAGGTGACATGATTTCAGCTTTCCTCCTCTTCCTTAATGTGTTGGCCAGCTTACCTATGTCGAAGTCATATGCATTCATCAACATGTCTCTAATCATGTGTGTTAATTGTTCTTAGTAAGGAATATAAAAACATAGTATCCATAAAATTGCTTCCTTTTATGTATATATGTATGTATATGTGTGTGTGTGTGTGTGTATATAAATAATTTTTCCACCTTAAGTCAGTAAAGGTAGCCCCTCCATGTAGTCATAATGAACAGTATATGTGGATGTTTGTGACAGTGGTGATGATGACCATTATATATCACTAGACCATATATAGATGTGTACACCAGTACTTGCTAGACCAAGACAGTACTTTATTAACATTACTTCTAATTTTTACTTTTAATTGCCAGAGGGTATGTGAGCTTACCAGAGAAGGAGTAAGAGAGCACTCCCCAGTGGGCATGGTCACACTGTAATCCCTTTCCTCTCATTTCTCTATCCCTTCAGAATTTTGGATACACATGCCCAGCATGTTTCTCAAGCCACTAGGACCATGAATCGAACTATATGGTTAGCCATGTGGGATCCAGATTTCAGTGCATAGTGCTTCACTACTGTATAAGGGGGCTGGCTCTTATATTACTCTTAAAAGTCCATCCCTCTTCCCAACTCCAAAGACATTTTCAAAATAACAGGAATAAAATTGAAGAAGAACTCATTTTTGCCCTTGGTTCACAGAGTCTTCTGAAATCTATATTTGGTCCTTGATTCACCTGTGAATCATCTGTGCTGCCTTCATCTGAATTGTAGTGGTAGATGGAACTAGAGACTTAGGTGGAGTTGTAAGGCCCAAGAAGTTGTGACTGAGGTGGTGGCTGAGAGTATAGGAGACAGATGAGGCCAAGGAAAACTAAGGAGGCCTGTAGGATTGTCTAGTATAATAAAACAGTGTCATCAGTTTTTCTTTTGAAAGGACCATTGGTTTACCTGATATGTGCCAGGACCTTCACTAGCTATAGAACACTTTTAGAGAAAACACGGATGGATCCTCCAACCCACTTTTCTCATTGTTTTCTTGCATAAATCTCATATTCCCTATTAAATTGTGTATTTTCTGTAATATATAGGCCAGAATCTTCCTTTTCTGCTTTGCTTTTACTTTTTCTTCTACAGATGCTCCTCACATTACGATGAGGTTATGTCCTTCTAACTCTATTGTAAGTTGAAAATATTATAAGTTAAATAAGCAGTATAAGTTGAAACTGTCATAAATTTTAAATCTTTTAATTTTCAATGGAATTATAGTTTCTGCTAAATGCCTATAGCTGTTTGCATTATCATAATGTCAAAAAAGTGTAAGTCGGGGAGCACCTATAATTATAGTATATTCTTTTTTTTTTTTTTTTTTTTTGGGAGAGGTTTTTGCTATAGGGCATGTGCACTCACCAAAAAGTCAAAGAGAGACAGAAAGCAAGAAATCACCCCCCAGGGGGGATGGCCATGCTGCAATCCCTTCTCCATTCTCCTTTCGGGATCTTGGGCACGCACGCACATGTGCCCAGCGTGAGTTTAAGCCACTGGATCCGGGACTCAAACTGCGGTCAACTAGGTGGGAGTCCAGTGACATAAGCATTATGCTAACTGCTGGTCCCTATAACTATAGTATATTCTATCTCTACCTGCCAAGCTTCTCTTCTTGTGCAGAAAAGAATTCTTATTTAATCCATATATTACTGTAACTCCTTCGTAACAACTTAGTTTATTCTACTTTGTATCATAAATATCTAGACTTTTTTTTTCTTTTTGCCCTTGTTTAGACCCTCATAGGATTTTTTGTTTTGTTTTGATTTGCTTTGTTGTTGTTGTTGTTGTTTTTCTCCTTCTGGTTTTAAGGTTATGGTCTGTATTTGATTTGTGTTTGGAGTCTCTGCAGTTCTTTAATGTAGCAGGTATTTAGAGTAAACATTTAAAACTAAAATATGCTATTAGAGTTTTAAGAAGTCTATTATGAATGTGGAGTAGAATAACCAGAAGAAGCTTGAGTTCTAAGGAAGAACTTAGAATGAAAGATGTCAAGATGAAAATTTTGTTTGGTATATTTCTGAGAACATACAAAACATTTTTGTACCTAAGGGTAGGTGGATGGAGTGGGTTCAAATTATAAAAGGTATTAAATACTATGCAGACATTTTCTGAGAGAAACTGCATGTGATCAAATTCCTGATGGTTCCAAGAACCTTGGATCATGACTCCAGAATTGTGGCCCTTTTGATACTTGCCTTGTGCTTGTGTCATCATTAAGATGATTAACATTGTGACCAGCAGATGGCGTAATGATTATGTTGCTGGATTCCCACATAGACAACTGCAGTTCGAGTCCCAGACCCAATGGCTTAAAACTCATACTGGGTACATGTGCGTGCATGCCCAAGATCCCGAGAGGAGAAAGGAGGAGAAGGGACTGTGGTGTGGCCATCTCCTCTGAGGGGTAATTTCTCGCTTTCTGTTTCTGGTGAGTGAGTGCACACGTCTTATAGTAAAAATATCTTTAAAAAAAAAAAAGATGACATCTTTATAGACAATAAGTTATTTAATCTTTACAGTAACCCTATGTGATAGGTACTGTCTCTGTATTCTAAAATGAGGTAAATGAATTAAGCCAATAAATAGTAGAACCAGTATTTGATGTTTATCAGTGTTTATAGAAGTTAATGTTTATGAAAGAAGCAGAGGAGTCTATTTTAACAAAAACTTTGATGCAGATATTATTTTAATTTTCTAGTATTGTGAGCAGTTATTCCAGTATTTGAAGCAGCTATCAATGAACCCAAACTAGAATGGAAGAGAAACATACAAAAAGATTTATTAAGAATATGCTTTTATTCTATCAAAAGTAACTTTTTTTTTCCCTTGAGGTCTGGTATCCTTACCAGAGAGAGACAAATAGATGGTGAGGGAGAAAGCACCCCCCAGTGGGCACAATCACACTGTAGTCTCTTCTCCTCCATTTCTCCATCCTGTCAGGAGCTTGTGCATGAGCACACAGTATATTTCTTGAGCCACTGGATCTAAGGCTCGAAACGTGCAGTCAGTCATATGGGATCTAGACTGACTAGGTCATCGGAAAAGTCATAATGTATTTCTTTCTTTGGTTTTCTATGCAAAAATGCATCATGACTTTTCTGATGACCCAATGGAATGGAGGTTTGTTTTTCTCAACTAGATGTCTATTAACCAGCATAAGCACCATTTAATTGTATTATTTACTAAAACCTAATGTCACATTACTTAATGAAATAAGTTTTTATTATAGTTTATTAATTAACATTGTGTTAATTTTGAGTTTAGAATCCTGGAACAGCTCATCCTTATGATAGTGGCCATATAGCAATGACTTACACTGGCCTTTCATGCTTAGTTATTCTTGGAGACGACCTAAGCAGAGTAAATAAAGAAGCTTGCTTGGCCGGCTTGAGAGCTCTTCAGCTGGAAGATGGGAGGTATGGCATATCCTTTGTTTCTATGTTTTAATAAAGAGATTTGGAACTTCGAAGAATGGATATAATAATATACTAAATCTTTAGAGAATCATACTCTTACTTGAACCACCTAAAGTTTACCATACAACTTGTGCCTGGCATGTTTTTAAAGCTGCTGGGTCCAGAATTTGAATCACGCAGTCAATCATGCAGGATTTGGCTCCCACGGCCAGCAGGCTGACCCAGTCCAAGACTTCTTATAATTCCAGTAGCAGAATTCCTTTCTCTTTTCATTCTTTTTTAACTGAGATGGTAAGTCCATAAATAAATGGTTGAATATTTTCACTTTAATTAATCTCCTATATGAAAAAGAGAACTTTTTTTTGAGAGGTTTTTGCTATAGGGTACATGCGCTCTCCAGAAAGCGAGAAATCACCCCCCGGGGGGATGGCCACACTGCAATCCCTTCTCCATTCTCCTCTCGGGATCTTGGGCACGCATGCACACGCGCCCGGCGTAAGTTTTAAGCCACCGGGTCCGGGATGTGAACCATGGACCATGAGAGTCCAGCGACATAGCCATTATGCTAACTGCTGGTTCCAAAAAGCGGATATTTTGAAAGAAGCATATATCTAGTTTGAACTTTTATTCCTTAAGACATACTGATTGAGGGGAGAGAGAGATGAACACTGAATATTGTATTCTATTGTAGGAATTTCAGTCACATTTTTAAAGGATAGAAAAAGGAGTTAGTATATTCAGTAGTATAATATATTCATTAGTATTTGGTAGTTTGTGCGATATGTCTAAAGAATCTTCATAGAGAATTCCTTTTGTTAATTGCTAGAAGGGTGTGCACACTTGCCAAAGAGAGATGGAGAGCACACCACTCCCGAATGGCATGTGGTCCACCACCACATCTACTCCATTTCTCTGTCCTGTTGGGATTTGGAGCATACCTGCACATAGACCTTCCATATTTTTCAGCCATCTAGGGCCAGGACTTTAACCACAGTTAGCCATGTGGGATCTGGCCTCTTTTAACCACTAGACCGTGGGGCTGGCCCACTTCCTTGAGCTGTTTTTTTTTTGTTTGTTTGTTTTGGGTTTTTTTGTTTTTTGGGTTTTTTTAAGAGGTTTTTGCCAAAGGGCATGTGCATTTACTGGAGGGAGAGAGAAACAGAAACAATGAGATGGAAAGTAAGAAATCACACCCTAGGAGGGATGGCCACTTCACAATCCATTCTCCTCTATTCTCCCTGGGATCTTGGGCATACACTCACACATGCCCCCCTGACATGATTCCATGGTGGACCATGTGGGAGTCCAGTGAAATAACCACTGCACACCTGCTGACCCCTGCTTCCTATAGTTTTAAGGTGAAAAAGATTTTTTATGTCTGGAAAGTAGTGAGCAGTAGTGATGCTGTTTAAGGAAGAGACCTTGTAGATAGCCTGCTGTGTTGAAGCTTTGCATTCCATTTACTGTATCTCTATTTTCCTATCAGTGATGGGGGAGTAATACAGACATAGAGAATAAACTGACATTAATTGAAGTTACTGTAAAATTAAATATTTACTTCAACCAGTACACATGACTATTATAAATATTTTGGTATAGTTTTCAATTACTGAAACCTTACTTCTTGTTTATAAATAAATAAATCAGTATGCAAAATAGACTCTTAACCTCTCTAGAACTAACTGAATGCCTAAGAATTACATTAAACATGATATGATTAATCAGTGGTTATCTGTGTATATATTTTTAAAAATTTTCACATAACGCAACTTAGGCTTGAGAATTTCTTACTACACAATAGGTCCCAAATTTTACTGTTACTTTTTCTACCATTTATTCTCAAATTGGTATGCCATAGCTATCCCTTGCTAGGAAAAAAAAAAAAAAACTTACTCTGACTGGTAGCACTTGAGAAAGAAGAACATGGTAATGTGTAAAACTGCCCAGAAATCTGAACTTGAGAATATGGGATGATTTAGGAAGTTTCATGTTACTCAATTTAATAGTCCTATTCTTTATTGAATAGTATAAAGAGAATACAGTTTTTAAATCATTGTTTTTTTCTGTGAGCAAACATACCGAGTGGGTGTTTTTAATCCCCTGCAAACGTAATTATACTCCAGTGTTAATAGTAAATTCATTTATTTTTGTTATTTTCAGTTTTTGTGCGGTACCTGAAGGCAGTGAAAACGACATGCGATTTGTGTACTGTGCTTCCTGTATTTGCTATATGCTCAACAACTGGTCAGGCATGGATATGAAAAAAGCCATCAGCTATATTAGAAGAAGTATGGTGAGTTATGTTGATAAAATTGTCTGTTTAGGTTACTGTTCGGATGAGAGCTGTAGTGTAATGTAGCTCATCTCTTCCACCAAAAATTTGGAAATAAGGTCAGTAAGATTGCTTTCTGGATACATTCTGTTTCAGGACACCTATAGACAAAAATTAAAAAGGGTACATTGATCCTTGGCCATTAAATTGTAAATAGGTTTTATCTGTAGAATCTGACTTTTATCCAAAGAAGCATTGTCTTTATCAGAAAGAGATTGGTTAGCCCCAGGAGAAAAAAGGAAAGAAAATCTTAAAGGAAAATGTTAATAGCCTATTCTAGAAGGAATTAGTGCAGAGTCCTAGTCAAGCAAACTGGAAGATTATGGTGCCTTTGGTGAGACTTCCTAAATTGTTGTGAGTTATGAGTTCCTACAGCCATTTTGATTAGTAAGACCCAATGTACCAAGACTAAATGGCCTAACAGTAGTCATTGGATCACTGTTGTTTCTTAACACTTTTATGTAGATGTAAGTCTAAGGTGAATTTTAAGGAGAGTATTAAGTAGAAACTTTTTTTTATTTTTCCAGAGGCACATGCATTCACCAGAAAGAGACAGACAAGGGGAAGGTGGGATAACAACCCTCATTGGGGACAGTCATGCTGCAATCCCTTCTCCATCACTCCCTTTTTTTAGGATTTGGTACACATATGTGCGCACCCACACCTGGTGTGTTTCAAGCCACCAGTCCAGGACTGTCCCTATCACCATTTTCCCTTCATTTGTTGAGGATCTTCTGCTTTCTAGTACAAGATATTTCAGACTCGTCTTTTACTTTCACAGCATTGGTCCTGGAATCCATCATTTCTTCAAGGAGCCCTGTTTTTTTCTTACTAGGGACAGTGTTTAGAAATCAGGATCTGGGGCCAGTAGGTGGTGTGGTGGTTAAGGTGCTGGATTCCTTCATGGCTGACCATGATTTGAGTTCTGGACCTGGCGGCTCAAAAATCGTGCCAGCCATGTGTATGTGTGCATGCTCAAAATCCCAGGAGAATGGAGGCGAAGGGATTGCCTCATGGCCATCCCTCCAGGGAATCATTTCTCACTTTTCCTCTCTCTGTATCTCTCTGGTGAGCATATGTGGCCTATGGCAAAAAACTAAAAAAAAAAAAAATTATGATCTGAGTACTAGGTACACTCATTCCTATTGGGATGTCATTGAGTCTAGGCCCTTTGTCCTTTTTTTGTATATACATTCAATCGCATTGTTTAGCTTACAGTGTGAGCATTTCAATATGTAAATATTTCTCCCCAGACCCATTGATCAAAATATCTTCAACCGATAACACCACACTTCTGCATCCTGTCAATGTTCTACCTCCGTATCCCTTCTCCAGATGTCCTTTGTTAGGCCCCACTCCTCTACATACACCTCATCTGACAGTCACACCCATCTCTTATGTTTGTAGAACCGTTAGTCACTCAGTTTTAGACATAGAGTGCAGACACACGGTATATGTTAAGTGGGGACATACAATGTCTCTCCTTCATAGCCTGGCTTGCCTCACTCAGCAGTAAATTTTCCATATTTTTCCACTTTCTGTCAAAAGCCAGGGTTTTTTGTTTTTTATGGCTGAGTAGTATTCCATAGAGTATATGTGCCACAGTTTTTCAATCCATTCCTCCATACAGAGGCATTTGGGTTGGTTCCATGACTTAGCAATCGTGAATAGTGCCGCAATAAACATTGAGGAGCAAGCACTTTTCCAGTGAGGAATTCTTCTGTCCTTTGGGTAGATACCAAGGAATGGGATTGCTGGATCATATGGTAGATCTATTTGTAGATTTTTGAGGAATCTCCAAATTATTCTCCACAGTGGTTGGACCAGTTTACATTCCCACCAGCAGTGTAAAAGAGTTCCCCTTTCACCACACCCCTGCCAACACTTATCATTTTTTGTTTTTTTAATCTTAGACATTTTGACTGGGGTTAGGTGGTACCTCATTGTTGTTTTTATCTGCATTTCCCTTACAATGAGGGATGTTGAACATCTTTTCATATGCCTTTTGGCTATTTGTATGTCATCTTTAGAGAATGTTTTGTTCAACTCCTTCTCCCATCTTTTAATGGGATTGATCGTCTTTTTTCCAAACAGCTTCTTTAGTTCCTTGTGTATTCTGGTTATCAGTCCCTTATCTGATGCAAAATTTACAAAAATATTTACTTTTTAACTTTCTTAACCAAAACTTATACCCTTTAAGCACTGCCACCTTTACTTGAATACTCGTAAGCTCTTCTCATATCATCATTGCTGTGTTTTACCAGTACTCTCTCAAGACAGATTGTACTCACATTGCAACGTGCTTATAATTACCAGTAGGAAAAACTGATTGTTCTGTGACTTGAAAATTTTTTGCCAAAATATTAAAAAGACTTACTTTCAGTTATAAATATGTAGGAAACTTTTTTAACTGGTAAAATTACTATTTAATACATTGTATTTTTTTAAAAGAATAGTTTTACTTTATTTTATGTATTTATTAACTTTAATTTGACCAGAGAGGGACAGAGTGAGAAAGAAAGTGAGAAAGCAAGTCGCCAGGTCCAGACTCAAACCCTGGTCGGCCACATGGAAGTCCAGAGCCCTTAATCACCAAGCCACCTGCCAACCCCAATACGTTGTAACTTATTTCTTTTCAATTTGCTATAGGACATGTGCCCTCTCTAGAGAGAGAGAGAAAGCATCTTGCAATCTCTTTTCCTCCATTCTTCCTTCAGGATTTTGGGCATGCATATAAACATTCCCAGTGTAATTTTCAACCTCCCGGGTCCAGGATTTGAGCCATACAGTTGGATATGTGGGATTCAGCCACCTTAACTATCATGCCAGTTACTGGCTGACCCAGTACACTGTCGTTTTTTACATTAGAAATATTGAGAATTAAAATAGGTTATTTCCTTACTTAAGTGCTGCTTTGCTACCTTCTTATCATATAATTTCAATATAGAGCAAACATCTTTTCTGTTTCTTGGCAAATGAGCATTCTTCTAAGTTTTTAATCAACTTTCAACATTTTGATAAGAATTTCTTTTATGTAAAGTTTTTTGCCTTCTATAGAACATTTTTACCTGTTTCATCACAACCCGTTTTCTCACTTGTATAGATATTCCTTCTCTTATTGGGTTATCAAAAGAGTCATTACTCATTTTTGCATAGAAAAACACGTCATGACTTTAATCTATAATCCTTATGACTATGTGGCACTGTGGTAACTTATTTCTTCTAAGCTATTTAAGTTCGATTTAACTTGCAGTGTTAATTTCTTTAAAACTTTTTTAGCATCAGCAGGAGGTATAGTGAATAAGACATTGGACTTCCATGGCCCACTGCAATTTGAATCTTCCACCCAGCGACTTGAAACTCACACTGAGTGCGTGTGCATATGTGTGTGTGTGTGTGCCCAAAATCCCAAGAGGAGAGTGGAAGAGAAGGGATTATGGCTTGGTCAACCCACCTGAGGGATGACTGCTCACTTTCTCTCTGTCTCTCCAGTGAGTACATGTGCCCTGTAGCAAAAGTCTCTTTAAAAAAAAAAAGGGGGGGGGGACTTTTTTTTCTCTTTTTTATTAGACTTTGAATTTGAAATGTCCAATTTCCTCTTTGGGTTATGCATTTTTGTAAAACATCATATAGGTTTATCACTGAGACAGCACAGCTACACCCTTTGCTCTCTGTGAACTAAAGAACACAAGAAGTGACTAATTACTAAAGACTTTTAGTAGAGGGACATGATTAGTCACTGATTATGATGTACATATTATTTATGTAGTGATTTATAGACTGAAAAGCTAGCAGCAAAATGGTTACTGATTTTTTAACCATAACCATACTCTGTTACTTAACTAAATTATAATCATTGGAATTTGTGCATATTAGAATTGTCCAAAGTGAGGGCTGCCTATATTATCACATTTAAGATAGATTTTCTCTTTTAGGTAGTGATTTTAGATCTGTCAGATATACCATTAGCTTCCTTCTTTATCTTGCTCATAATTTTTCACAAAGCATCTTTATTTTCTGCAAAGGTGTGTCAGAGATATAAGATGGCTCACTGGAATTTGATGTTTCTTTTTCTGTAGACAGGCAATTTGAAGCTTGAGGATGCCTTCTTGCTTTGCTAAAGTTTGAGTTTTATAAATTGTATTGTTCTTTTTTACTATTTTGATTTTGGAAGATATATGGGAAGATTCAAATTTAATCAGGTACCAGTATCCTCAGCAACCCAAAATTGCCTTTATTTTAAATTTTATTGTTTAATTTTGCCAGTGAATGTGTGCACTTGCCAGAGAGAAGCAAAGACAGAGAAGGAGAGGGAAAAACCACCCCCAATAAGGCATGGTCACATTGCAATCTCTTCTCTTTAATGTCTCCCTCCGGTTGGAGTTTTTGGCATACTTGCACATTTGCTTGGTGTGTTTCTCAAGCTTCTAGGTCCAGGACTCAAACTGGCAGTTGGCCACATGAGATTGACTTTCCTTAACCACTAGGCCTGGACCATCCCAAAAATTGCCTTTAAAATAGATGTGTTTTAGGTGTGTGTGTGTGTGTGTGTGTGTGTGTGTGCTTTAATTTGTTCATTTTATTTATTTCATAAGTGACACAGACGGATACTCCTTATAGGATCTCTTCAGACTGAGTCCCTTCCCTGAGAGCTTTCCAGCCAGGGTTACAGGCTCATCTGTGGTCACCTAGCATGTTCAGATCAATCCAGGATCTGAACCCTAGGCCTTCACATATGGCTCCATTGTGCACTGGTACCCTACCACCTGTGCTGCTGTAGGCAGACCTACTTGATATTTGCAGTGTCTTATGAGTGTAAAATTCCTACATTTGTGTTCAGCTCACATTAGGGAGTCCTCGGAGAATTCACAAAAAATATATATTAGGAGGAAACTATGCAAGGATTTCAAAATTTTTTTGTGCCAAATAAACTTGTATTTTAATTCTATTTTTCTTTGATCTTTTTGAAGTGCACTCCTATATACTTACAGTGAGAAAGGAGTAAGGATTGGAACTTTAGTTGGGTAGAAATTGAATATGTAGGTAACATCTTTGAACAATCTATTTTCAGAATATGCCTAGTGTGTCACTAAGTGATTTGGCTTAGTAAGACAAGATCAGGTACTTGAAAATTCTTAGTTCTGCTTCTCTGTGGGAAAAAGTACATATTTTTGGAAGATAGGAAGGAGACAAAATTAAAAGAGACCCAAAAAATTAGAGTGGCAACTTACTTACTATTATTTTTCTACTAAACTGAACAATATTTTTTTCTTTCAGTCCTATGACAATGGGCTGGCACAGGGAGCTGGACTTGAATCTCATGGTAAGATATCTTCAAATAAGTGAACATTGTAGTTTGTTTTGTTCCTTTAAAAAACATCATGTTATCTTCAATATACAGTATCTCGAAGTTGTCTCAACCCCTGTTGCAGACTGATTATCTTTTTTTGTCATTTTTTCTACTACTTTTTTTTTTTTTTTTTACTTCTTTTGACATTGGTATGCCTGTTGAAGCCGCTTAAGTCAGTGATCATTTAGGGATTATTCAGACCAGAATGTTCATCTAATATTTTCTAGTAATCTTTTCAAATGTTAACTGCATGAAAACACATGATTATTTCTACTTAAACTCTTGTTAGAAAATACTGGTTTTCTTCTTTGGCATAATCCTAAAAGACTAGACCAGACTAGTGGGTGGCATGGTGGTTAAAGTGCTAGGTCCCACATTGCTAACTGTGTGGTTCATGTCCCAGACCCAGTGGCTTGAAAGTTACACCAGGCACATGTGTGTTCATGTCAGACATCCCAGGAGGATAATGGAGGAGGAGGGATAGCAGCATGGCCATCCCCCCTGGGAGATGAGTTCTCACTTTCCTCTCTGTCTCTATCTCTCCCCAGCAAGCATATGTGCTCTGTAGGAAAAATCTGTTTAAAAAATACATTGTAAAAGGCTAGACCAAAAAGATAACAGAATTTTAAACATGAATCAATAAATTAATGAAGAAATGAAAATTTTTTATTTACTTTTCTTAATATAATTATTCTCAGTCATAATCATAAAATATTTTGCTTCTTAGTATCAATTCAGTACAAACATTAACAGTCTTTTCTTCCAACATGTTTCTTACCTTTGGTAGCACCAGAATAGTCAAATCATAGTCACTAAGTTTGTCAGTAGATCAGTAGCCAGAACTCTCTCAAATTGAAATTTCCATTCACAAGTAAATTATTGAAAACTTTCATTCTCCTTTTCTAAAAAAAAGAAAAAGAGCCCAGATCATGGAAACTCTCCAAGTGAACTTCAGTTTTCTCTTCATGAATTGTTTGTGTGCTGAGCTACTCTCTCCATCCTTCTGCTTCATAAAGTAAAAAGAGCAGATTAGTATTGGTGTCTCAGTCCTGGCACCCGCTATGTGACCTTGGCTTTTAATTTCTCTGATAGTTTCCTTATCAACAGAGTAGAAATAGTGGTATTTTTTTCTTGTAATTATTGTTATTAAGGCTTTAGGAGATACAGGGGAAAGTGGGTTGTAAACTACATGAAACATGTATAAGAGAATATTTTTAGCATATATGCCTTAATTCTCATATTTGGTAGGGGTCTGCAGGAAGTCATGGAAGAATGTATGTTATGAAAAAACTATGCATGTACTTCAAAAATTTTCACACCAAAATTCCATTTTCAAAGAAGTTTTTCTAAAGTTTCCTGGAGTATACCTTGGAACTTTGTTTTATCAGATATTTCCTCCTACTCTAACGTTTTCACTTTCTTTTTCAATTTAGATATTTATCAAATCCATGTCACTAAGGGTATATTGAAGACTGTGATGGATTTTCCCCTAAAGCCATACTATAATTATGACACCATAACTCTGGTGTGTTCCTGAGCCTATTTAATTTGGGGCTAGGGAGCTGGTGATAGCAGTTGTTCATCACCGCATGGTGGGAAGAGAGAATGGTAGTTGTACAAAGAGGAACTCTGATGACTCAAACAATTTCTGAGAAGGCAGTCTGGGGCTCACTATTATAGATGGTCTTAATGGACTAAGAAGACATTTAGCCCATTAGCTAAGTGTCCCGCTAGCGTACGAGACCAGGGGACAGGCACTGTTGTCATTGGGATTACACTCCCTGGGCTGAGAATCAAAGAAAGCCTCCCCAAACATGATTGATACTTACTGACAGGTTCTATTAGGGAAAATATCTTAGTCACATAGGTTGTGACTTGTATGCCTTGACTATGACTTGGAATAATTTGATAAATTGTACCAGTCAAGTTTATCAGTGATGGACTAGTCCGTGGCAAAAAGCTTACAGTTTCTTTTTATCTGTGATGTAAGCTGGATAAATTTGAAGCCTAAAGCCCTAGGGAAGGGTTTCCTAATCAGAGTACTGTAGTATACTGGCTTACTTCAAATAGGTTATAGATACGCCGTTACGTTGCTCCCTCAGCTTTAGGGGGCAACCACGCAAGACCTGAGTATCTGGAGCCTCTGGTAAGGTTGCTTTTGGCCAAAGCCACCTTTTTCAATGTCCCACTGTATGCCCTACAAATAATTTTCTTTGTGTCCTCTGAGGTTAGATAGGCTGGGGAATACTACCCTAGAGGACTTCGATTTATCCTTCCTTCCCTCTCTCATCACTGTCTACACTGACAAGTGAAGCCTTTTCTTAAGTCTCACAGGTCCAGCAGGTGATATAGTATTTAAGGCACTGGACTCTCACCTGGCCAACCACAGTTCGAGTTCCAGACCCAGTGTTTTGAAAATCACACCTAGCACATGTATGTACGTACACAAAATCCAGGGAGGAGAATGGAGAAAGGATTGTGGCATAGCCATTTCCCTTGGGGAGTGATTTCTCTTTTTCCTTCTGTCTGGTGAGCACACATGCCCTATGGCAAAAACTTAAAAAGAAATAGATAGAAAGATAAGATAGATGATAGTAGTCTTACAATATGACCACTATTTAAAATCATTGTGTTTTTCTTTTTTCTTCTTTTTTATTCTTAATCTTTTTTGGGAAAGTGATCCAAAGAAGCTACCCATCTTTCTTCACAAGCAACTTGTTCTTAAATTTTCTACGTAAGCCTTCAGCAACTTCCGAAGTTTCTCTTTTAAAGTCGTGAATAATCTACATTTCAGATAAAATTTCTTTTCATTCCTCATTGTTTATTTATTGAAGCATTTAAAGCTAATTAACACACCCCCCCCCTTATTTCTTGAACAGTTACATAATGCTTGTCTTCCTGATGAATTGTTTCTGGCTCCTTCACCATCTTTATTTATTTCTTTCACCTTTTTAACCTCTATCCCCCATCTTCCACCCCCAGCATACATCTTCAGATCTTGGTTCAAATGATAGTTTTTTATAAGCTCCTATTTAAAATAACAAATGACAAACCACCCATATGCACACTTTCTGTTTTATTTTTGTGTGTGTGTGTTTTTTAGGTTTTGGCCATAGAGTGTATGTGCTTGTCAGAGAGTGTGTGTGTGCTGGCCAGAGAGAGGGAGAGAGGAAAGTGAGAAATCACGCACTGTAGGGAGTGGGGGCTGATGGCCACACCGCATGCCTTCTCTTCCATTTTTCTCCTGAGATTTTGGGCACATACAAACATGATTTTTCAGGTCTGAGACTTGAGCTGCAATCAGCCATATGGGAGTCCAATGCCTTAACCACCATGCCACCTGCTGGCCTTGCACACTCCCTGTTGAGACTCTCAAACCAGCTACATGTTCACACCCCTTTCTGATTTTTTTGTCCTTCCTATCACTTATAGTTTATAAGTGTCTTATATTTTACCCATTAGTTTATTTCTACCTCCCCCCACTTAGTTTAAGTGCCAGGGAAACAGCTTTTGCCTTTTTTGTCTACTGCTATACCCCAACTTTTTTTTTTTAATTCTTTTTTTTTATTTTTTATTTTTATTTATTTATTTATTTTATTTTGGAGAGGTTTTCGTTATAGGGCGCGTGCGCCCACCAGCCAGACAGAGACAGACATAGAGATAGAAAGCGAGAAATCACCCCCAAGGGGGGATGGTCACACCGCAATCCCTTCTCCTCCATTCTCCTCTCAGGATCTTGGGCACGCACGCACACGCGCCCAGCGTGAGTTTTAAGCCCCTGGGTCTGGGACATGAACCGCGGTCGACTACATGGGAGTCCAGCGACATAGCCATTACGCTAACTGCTGGTTCCCTACCCCAACTTTTAACGTGCTTGGCACATAGCCTAAGGAGCTGACGAATGAATGTATCATTCTGTGTATGATGACTCTAAAACTCTTTCCATGTCCACACTTTGACGTGCAGGGAACAAAGTTCCGTTTCCATCTGCTTGTCAGACACATCCTCCTTAATCATGCTGCAGCTGCTTAAACCACACACTTTCTAAAAAGGTTGTTTATGAGAGAGAGATAGACAGATTGCTTTTTTTTTTTTTTGGAGAGGTTTTTGCTATAGGGCACATTCACTTGCCAGACAGACAGAGAGATAGAAAGCGAGAAATCATCCCCCAGGGGGGATGGCCACACCGCAGTCCCTTCTCCTCCATTCTCCTCTCGGGATCTTGGACATGCACGCACACGCACCCGGCGTAAGTTTAAGCCACTGGGTCCAGGACTCTAACCATGGTCAACTACATGGGAGTCCAGTGACATAGCCATTACACTAACTGCTGGTCCCGATAGATTGCTTTTTTTTGACAGGATCTCATTCTATTGGGATCCTCTTGCCCAAAAGCCTCCTAGCAAAGTAGGACTACAGGCGTTTGTCGCCGTGGCTGATTCTCAAAGTTTACACTTTTAAAACTATGGTTCTCTTTATTTTCTCTTAGAACCAAGGCTAGTCTTGCTCTTTAAGAATATAAAATAACTTACTATTAGATTTACTGATTTTTAAGGGAAACCACCAATCTAGAATTTTGGCTATTTTTGATTTGCCAGTGATATGAATTGAGCTCCATAGGTCAGCAATTTATTTATACTCCCTTATTAGCAGAATAAGGAAAAGTAATGTATTTTTTTTTTTTTGCATTCAATCACTGTGTATCATTACTGCATACCAAATGAATTTTCCCATCCTATTTCCTACACTGTTGGTGGGATTGTAAATTAGTCAGACTGGCAGCTTGAAAATCATGCAAGGTGCATGTCCATGTGTGCTTAAAATACTGAAAGGAGACTGGAGAAGAAGAGATTATAGTGTGGATATCCTCCCTGGGGAGTGCTGTGTTGTCTCACTTTTACCTTCTCTGTCTCAGGCAAGCGCAGGTGCCCTATAGCAAAAATTAAATTAAAAAAAAAAAATTACTTGTCTTTCCTTGCCATTTTGTAACTATCTCTGTCTCTAAGGTCCTTCTAACATACTGCTTTTAATCTAAGTTTTTCTAACTAATTTTAGTTTTATGTAAAACAAAAGTCTCTTAAGGGCTTAAGGGACTTACCTGTTGGTTAATATATTTTAATTTAAAGCATAGACTTTGTAGTCATTGTTTTTGACTATTCAACGAACTTACTTCTGGAGTTATTTTTGAAAATCCTGTGACTTGGGCAATACACTTTTAAAACTATGGTTCTCTTTATTTTCTCTTAGAACCAAGGCTAGTCTTGCTCTTTAAGAATATAAAATAACTTACTATTAGATTTACTGATTTTTAAGGGAAACCACCAATCTAGAATTTTGGCTATTTTTGATTTGCCAGTGATATGAATTGAGCTCCATAGGTCAGCAATTTATTTATACTCCCTTATTAGCAGAATAAGGAAAAAAATATATTTTTTTTTTTTTTTTGCATTCAATCACTGTGTATCATTACTGCATACCAAATGAATTTTCCCATCCTATTTCCTACACTGTTGGTGGGATTGTAAATTAGTCAGACTGGCAGCTTGAAAATCATGCAAGGTGCATGTCCATGTGTGCTTAAAATACTGAAAGGAGACTGGAGAAGAAGAGATTATAGTGTGGATATCCTCCCTGGGGAGTGCTGTGTTGTCTCACTTTTACCTTCTCTGTCTCAGGCAAGCGCAGGTGCCCTATAGCAAAAATTAAATTAAAAAAAAAAAATTACTTGTCTTTCCTTGCCATTTTGTAACTATCTCTGTCTCTAAGGTCCTTCTAACATACTGCTTTTAATCTAAGTTTTTCTAACTAATTTTAGTTTTATGTAAAACAAAAGTCTCTTAAGGGCTTAAGGGACTTACCTGTTGGTTAATATATTTTAATTTAAAGCATAGACTTTGTAGTCATTGTTTTTGACTATTCAACGAACTTACTTCTGGAGTTATTTTTGAAAATCCTGTGACTTGGGCAAAGTAAAGAGTGTTTTTATTTCGAATTGTACCAGTTTGTTTTAAAAATGCTCACAAATAGTCTGGAGAGTAATACTTAAAGTGCATCTTTTTCTTTTTCAGTAGTTTTAAAGGCTATGTACTGTCTCTTAGAGTCTTCAGGTTTAATAATGTAGTAATACTTGAAGTCATGCCCATGTTATCAAAAAAGAGAAACATTGACATGGAAATAGAATTGATAGGATTGATAGCTTAACGAAAGTTTTTTTCCTAAAAGGTTGTGATAAATTTGTTTTACTTTTCTATTTTAATTCCCTCAAGACACATGTACATCTCCCAACTAATAGGAAACATTCTGAAGTTTGAATAGTTCTGACAGTAGCAGTTGGTTTTTCTGTTTGTTTTTTAGTAGAGATTTTTGCTTTAGGGCATGTGTGCTTGCCAGAGAGAGAGAGAGACAATGAGAGGGAAAGTGAGAAATCATTCCCCAGGGGGATGGCCATGCCACAATCCCTTCTCCTCTGTTCTCCTCCTGGGATCTTGGGCATGTACACACATGCACCAGGTGCGATTTTCAAACTACCAGGTTGGGACACGAGCCCTGGTCGGCCATGTGGGAGTCCAGAGATGTAACCACTGTGCTATCTGCCTGTCCCCAGTAACACTTTAACTTAATACGATAGCTTGAGTTTTCCAGAGAGTATGCTCACCTTTCCTTTGCCAGAGAATACACCTAAGATTTCTAACACCAGAAGGAAAGTTTGGGGTAAGACATATTTAGGAGTCTTCGAAGAGTTTGTAGAAAATGCGTAAGATGAAAAACTATGCAAGGATTTCAAAAATGTTTGCACCAAAATAAACTAGTACTTTAACTTCATTTTTCCATGGGATTTTTGAGATTTTTCTCATATTAGGAACAATCAGTGTAAGTTGCTGAAATAATAAAAATCAGTAGGAAAGTTATAATAAATTGGAAATGTGTTTTCAGGTTGTTTGAAATTGGCAGACAAATAGTGTTAGGGGAAAGTATTGTTTCTTTTCCCTTGTTGAAAAATAATGACTTTTCATTTCCTGAGGAAAGTGATTAGTTTTGTGAATGTATTAATTTCTTATTGCTGTTGAACATTTTACCACAAATTAGGGGCTTGAAACAACACAAATGCTTTCTCTTACAGTTCTGGAGGACAGAAGTCTGAATTGAGATTTAATGGGGCTGAAATTCAGCTGAAAGCAGGGCTGGTTCCTTCTGGAGGCTCCAGGGAAGAATCTTTCCTAGATTAGCTTCTGGTGGCTGCTGGAATTCTTTGCTTTTAGCTTCTACATTCCAATCTCTGCCTCTACAATCACATTGCCTCCTCTGTTCTATATAATCTAACCTTCTGCTGCATCCAGAGATAATCTATAATAATCTCTCCATCTCAAGATGGTTTAACTTAATCAGTTTGCAAGGCCTTGTCACATTGTAAAGTAGCATTCAGAAGTTCCAGGCATTGGGAGCTGGATGCTTTTGGGGCAGGGGGGAGTTATTCAGCTATGACAATGATACATTTTAAAGATATGCTATGTGTCCACTTCTGTAATGGACACCTCCTTATTCTTTTCCTCATTAGAAGTTTTAAGCTGATTATGTATCTTTACTACATATTAGCTTCTTACTTGTTGATGTTATATGTAAAAATTCTTTTGTAGCTTTGGGAGATGGGATCTCAATTCATAAGCAATATACTACCTTTAAGGGAATTAAAATCATGCTCAGTCGATTGAGTTCTGAACAGGGAGACAGTAGTCCTGGATTTTATTTCTAAATTTGACATTAACCCTGTAATTTTAAACAAATTCCTTAATATTGTTCTAAGTCTTACTTTTTTTACAAGTAAAATGTTTCTTATAGCTTTAATATTTTCTGTTCTCTTTCAACAAATTAATGTTGAAGACTGTAATGTTTAGTGTTTATTTTTAAATTGTTAATGGTTTTTATTTAAATTTTATTCACTATTTTCTGGAATTATTTAACTATTTTTCCCTCTAACCATTTCATACTATCTTCATAGGCATTTAATTAGAGGTTTAAAGCATTATGTGGTTTTGATTAACAGGAGGATCTACTTTTTGTGGCATCGCATCACTGTGTCTAATGGGTAAACTAGAAGAAGTTTTTTCAGAAAAAGAATTGAATAGAATAAAGAGGTGGTGTATAATGAGGCAACAAAATGGTTATCATGGAAGACCTAATAAGCCTGTAGACACCTGTTACTCTTTTTGGGTGGGAGCCACTCTAAAGGTAAGAGAAATAATAAAAGTGAGAAAACTATATTCTATATTAATATAACTGCTCTAAAAGATTTAATCTTCGTAATGTATGTTAAATATTGCTAGGTCAGGCTACTAAGTTTCTTTCTGTTTTGCCAAACCTAGTCTCTGTATCGGTTTTTCCATAGAATTTAATTATCTGTTGTATTTGGAATTTTCTTTTTTGGGGGGTGGGTGGTGGGGGGTTGCCATAGGGCTAATATGTTCTTCAGGGAGAAACACAGAGAGGGAAAGTGAGAAATCGCCCCTAGCAGGGATGGCCAAATCACAGTTTTTTCCCTCCACTCTCCTCTCCAGAGTTTGGGCATGTATGCACATGTGTCTGGCCTGATTTTCAAACTGCCAGATCTAGGGCTCAAACCGGGATCAACCTTAGCCATGTGAGAGTACAGCACCTTAACCACCATGCCACCTGCTGGTCCCGAAATTTTCATTCTTATAAAACTCAAATGACACAGAATTTAAGTATCATACTTACTTATAATTTACATAAAATTTGTTACATACCTGCTTCCTTATAGATATAAATAAGGTCATAAAAAATTGGTTCCTAAAACTGACCAATAGCAATCTGTGTAGAGCAGAAATCTGAAAGTGATATGAGTAAAGGTTTTATGAGAAAGTACTGCAGGTTGAGCATCACTAATCATAGATGAGAACTGCTCCCAAATCTAAATTTTTAGTGCTGACATGACACCACAAGTGGAAATTCCACACTCAACTTTGTGTAATAGGTCACAGTCAAATACAACCATTCAAAAATACTATATAAAATTACCTTCAGAATACATGTATAAAATGTATACATGAATTTTTTTGTTGAGACTTGGGTCTCATCACTGAGATATCACATTATTTGCAAATATTTGAAAACTTTTTAAAAATCCCAAAACCAAAACAAGCATTTTGTATAAGGGACACTCAACCTATAATCTTTTATTTTTTTAAAATTTTTCCTTTATTTATTTTAAATTCATTTATTGAACATCATCACAGCATACAATATGTGATTTTCCATCCAGAATACACTATAATAATACTTAATAATACTTGTAGTCATCAACAAGTAATTTTCCATTTGTTTCATGTATATATTTTCCCCCTGTATTTCTCACCCTCTGCCATTTCCCACCCTTCTCCCACACTGTCTCTGGTATTCTGTAGTTGTTTTCCATTCCCTTTTTTTCCCTCACATTTTATTGGTTCACAAAATATTAGCAAGTTCAGCTGATACATACATATCTGTGAACACGTTTGACTTAAAGGCATGAAACTGTAAGTAGAATGAATATACTGTAAAGTAGCACCTAGTTGGGCTTACTGTATTAAATAGGTATTTTTAATATATTTTTTAATTTCACAAAAGACTGTTTTAGCTTTAATAAATCAAAATCAAAAAATGTTAAGAGAACTTTGCTTAAGACTTAAAGCCAGGAAACAGGTTAGGGTTCTGTTCAAATAGTAGGTACATGAATCTGAGGACAACTCAAGAGAAGACAAAAATCCTTAATTCTGCAAAACAAAGCATAGAGGATGATCAGTGAAGTTTTAGTCAAAAGTCATAAAATTCTATTTCACCAGTTAAGTATCTTCTTTTGTGATCTGATCTTTCCATTAAATTCTGGAAGATAACATTGAACTCCAGACTTGTCCCTACCATTAAGCTGGCCTTTTTCTTTGTTTCTGAACTCTTATTTCTGTGTGTCTGACTTTAGTCTTCCTGATATAGCACTCCCTTCAGAACTTCTTGGAGAATTGGTCTGGTATAGATAAATTCTTTAAGGTTTTATTTCTCTGACAATGTTCTTATCTTCTCTTTCCATATGAAGGATAATCTTGCTGAGTATAGTATTCTTGGCTGAAATTGTTTTTCACTCAACACCGAATATATTTTCCCATTCTTTCCTTGTTCACATTGTTTCCAATGAGAGGTCTGTCCTTAGCCTGATGGAATATCCTTTGTGGATAACTTGACATTTCTCTCTCGCCAATCTTAATATCCTGTCTTTGTGGTTTTGGCTATGATGGGTCTTGGAGAAGATCTTCTTGGGTTGATTCTGGGGGGGTGAGGGGGTTCCTCTGAATTTCTTGGGTCTGGTTCTTTGAATGCCTGTCTAGGTTTGGAAAGTTTTCTTCCAGGATTTCATGGAATAGATCGTCAATGCCCTTATTGCTCTCTTTACTTTTTGGGGTACTGATTATCCAGATGTTTGGACATTTAATAGTATCTAGTATTTCTCATATATTAATCTCTTTTTGGGAGCTATTTTCTCAGTCTTCATAGTGGATTTTACTAGTCTGGTGATTCTGTCTTCTGCATCTGAGATTTGATTTTCTGTATGCTCTTAATACTTTCATGGGAGGTTTTGACTTCCTGTATTATAACCTTCATCTCTAACAATTTCATTTGATTGTTCATGGTTTGTATTTCTTCGCTTAGATAGTGCAAGAACTTCACCTCCTGAAACTTGTTGGCTCTTTTCTCATAACTCTTGGAGTTCATTGTCTGTCTTCTCTTACATCTCTGTTAGCTTCGTCACTATGAATATTCTAAATGTTTTAGCAGACATTTTCACAAGTTCTGTTGTACTGTCTGTGGATGAAGAGGAGTTATTCTTTTCCCTTGAGGGAGAGGTATTTTCTTGGTTTCTCTTATCTCTTGTTCCTCTGCAGTGCTTTCTAGTCATCTGATGGATTATACATTTCTTCCTAATTTCTAGAAGTTCAGTCTAAGTGTTCAGAAGCATGCAGAAGGAGGTGATCTGCAATCTCTGCTGTTCTGTTTTCCTGCCTTTGTGTGGCAGATTCAGTGGGAATTGAGGAATATGTTGACCCTAATAGTATTCAGATGGTTGGCTACTGTCCACTTAGACCTGTCTAGACACTCAGTGTATAGAGGCTGCACAGCAAAGTGATGAGGTAAAAGAAAGAGGATAAGAAAGTAGGAAAATAGAAAAGAAAAAAAGAGAAAAAAGAAAACAATTTTTTTTTTCTTTTTAAAAAGCAAAAAATTGGGACCAGCAATTGGCATAATTGCTATGTCGCTGGACTCCCATGTAGTCAACCGCGGTTCAAGTACTGGCCCCCGTGGCTTAAACTCATGCCAGGCACATGTGTGTGTGTGCGCATGCCCAAGATCCTGAGAGGAGAATGGAGGAGAAGGGATTGAGGTGTGGCCATCCCCCCTGGGGGGTGACTTCTCACTTTGTGTGTATGTGTGTGTCTCTCTGTCTTTCCGGCGAGCGCATGCGCCCTATAACAAAAGCTTCTCCAAAAAAGAAAATAATAAATAAAATAAGTAAATAAATAAAAAGCAAAAAATTAAAACCACCAGCACACCACACAAAAGCTCTAGTTCTCAGCTCCAGTGGAGGAGTCAGTCTTCTTTTGCCCTTTTGCCCCTCCTAAACAGGAGGGGGAAAAAGTTTATTAGCACGATAAAGGAGGATCTGAGAGCAAGAAAATACTTTATCTTAAAAAATTAAACAAAAAGAAATGTAAAAAGAAAATGAAAAGACAGACAGAGATGAGGATATAGGGGGTCTGCCACTCGAGAATGGGATCTGGAGAGTGAAATCTTAGCAGAAAATCTTCATTTCTCTTATTCTCTGAAAGCACTAGTTCTCCCACTCAGCCTATAAATCTTAAAAAAGACATCATGGATCATTCCTTTAAAAACCACTTAATATTTTTTGTTATTATTAATTTATTTGTCTAAACCTTCTGAAAATTACCATTTCTTTTCATTGGGGGAAATTTCAAACATATTCAGAAGTAGGGAGAATGGTGTAATAAACCCACATATGTTCATCAACCAATCTCAGCAGTTACCAATCCAAGCCAACCTACCCCCATCTGTTCTACTTCCTTCTGGTTCACTTTAAGGCAAATCCCAGATAGCATTTTTTCATATTATCTGGAAATTCTTCAGAAAATAACTTTTTAAAAAACAGAACTTTAGGGGTTGGCCCCGTAACTTAGTAGTTAAAGGAGCTGTATCCAACATGGCCAACAGTGGTTCGAATCCTGACCCTAGTTCCTTGAAAAACATGCCAGGCACGCATGTGTCCTTGCCTCAAATCCCAAAAGGATGGAAAAGTGATTGTGATATGACCAAACCCCATTGCATGGTTCATCTCTCTCTGCCTCTCACTGAACACACATACCCACTAGCAATTGAAAAACTAAATATTGAGTCATCTAAAAAGTTGTGATGCATTTTTGTATATAAAAAAAAACAGAAAATATGTCATGACTTTTTGATGACCCAATAAATAAATAGAGTCTTAGTATCATTAGCACATCTTAAAAATTAGCTATTATCATTAAATATCTCAGCAATGACATGTATTTCCTATTGTATCACATCAAGAGGAATATCTGGTTGTTTCTTTTTTGATCAAAGGGCTGTCAACCAGATTTTTTTTTTATAAGTACTATCAGCTTTTTTTTTAAAAAAGAGTGATTTATTATATATGTGTGTGTGTTTAATTTGACCAAAGAGAGACACAGAAGAGATGGAAAGTGAGAAAGCAAGCCACCAGTCCAAGACTCGAACCATGGTCAGCTATGTGAGAGTCCACACTTTAACCACGATGCCACCTGTCGGCCACTCTATTAGCTTTTTATTTTTTTTTTTAATTTTAACAAATTTTTGCTATAGGGTGCCTGTACTCACTGGCGAGACAGAGACAGACAGACAGAAAGCAAGAAATCAACCCCCCGGGTGGATGGCCTCACCGCAATTTCTTCTCCTCCATTCTCCCCTTGGGATCTTAGGCATGCATGCGCACATGCCTGGCATGAGTTTAAGCCACCAGGTCCGGGACTTGAACCACAGTCAACTGTGTAGGAGTCCAGCGACATAACCATTACACCATCCACTGGTCCCCATGTCTGCTTTTTTTTTTTTTAATCTTCATTGTATTGTGGTAAAGTATACATAACATAATATATTGACTGTGCATTAAA